TTCATACTTGGCGCGAATGGTGAGAGCGACCGCTTGCGGTTTTCAGGGCCCTGAAACATTGCCTTTCTCTTCATGCTGCGCCTACTGTATCCTGCCTTCCTCTTCAAGCTCCGCCCTCAACCTTGCCTTCCTCTTCATGCTCCGCCTACTGTACCTTGCCTTCCTCCTCATGCTTCGCGTACTGTACGTGAACGCTGCGGCCGGTGTCAGACTTTGCGAATCGCTCGATTCGCGAAGCTTGACGCCGGCTCATCGTTCGCCAAGTGTAATCGCGGTGCTGGAGTGAATGGAAAAGATGGGGTGCTAGCTAAGTAGTAATGCTTCCCTTTCATGCGTAAGCGCGTACAAAATGGATGGCAATCTTCTTTGTTCCTTACCCCTCCCCCTCCGGCAACATTGACTTCGAATCAATTGAAAACTAAACATTCTCGTAAAGATTTGCTTCAAAACCTCACCCTTTTGGCTTCTTTAACCCTTATCCTGGCCTTCACACGATTCCAAGCTTTCGCTGTGACTTTTTGTGTTTGGCATCTGAAAATGTCCGAACAATACTGTAAATGCGATCGACCAGGAAACAAATTTGTGTGTCTGACTCACCGTTGTAGGTTTTCGACGCAGATTCGTACGTCGATGCCTTCGGTAGGGTAGACATCAACAGACAAGGCTATTGGACCTCTGAATGAACCTCGTCGGAAAAGACCCGAGTAACTGCGACCGGCTAGTCGTGATAACCCGTAGCGGTTTTCTGCAATTTGTGGATTATCATGGCCATGGGTTAAATATCAAAGGAAGAACAGCTGAATATTCCACAATATACTTGCGCACAAAGTGGGAGGCTGGCGTGGTGACCTGAGGCGCTTGTATTGTTAGTAGGATGAAATCCGCCCACCCAGCGATCTCCCATCGCTCAGAGAAGTCTGATGGGCAGTTGCTGCGCCTAGTTTTCGATTCCACTACGAACTTAACTACCAGCTAGAAGTGACGACGTTGGCATGGCGCATCCCAACGTTATCGATCATCACTCAGTATTTCTCTCTACTAAAAGCTTTCTACGTTACTTTGAAAGCTATTTTTGAAGGCAAAAAGCGGGATTTCGTTTTGGAATCAAGCTGGATCCTGGAGAAAAGTGCAGCGATAAGTAAGGTGAAAGCACGTACACAACTTTCGGGACAAATCGACAAAAGGCGTGCTAATTTGGCGGGCGATCTCAGTGTTTGGTGGCGGGGCAGTATTGGCCCCGCCCAACACCATTGAGCTCGCCCACAAATTAGTGCTATTTCGTTTTGCTGCTGCTGGATAGAGGGTTTATTTTGGACCTTGTCGACGGTTTCTTCCCGTTTTTCCATTGCTGGCGTTATTTGTCTAATCTCTACTGTCGCTTACAAGCGCTGAATACATCAGTTCGATCCAGGACTTTGCGTTCAACGGTTTGGAAGGATGATTGGAAAACATTCTCCGCAATTGTCCAGCTTCAAGTAGAAATAAGGGTGTTACCTTCCAGAAATCTTGCTGGAGAAATGTGGAAAAGATATTTTCAAGCGGTTATATCAGCAATATCAAAGATAAGTTGAGGTGGTAAATCCAAGGAACAAAAAGAACAGCAAGGTTGAACTGACTTTGGTTTTGTTTCGACGCTATGCTGAAATTGCCGTAGTTCTTGTCGAGTGAATGCATGTCGACCCAGCTGCAAAAAAGTTGAATATAATTTTCTTGGCAATCTTCCAATGAACGAATGACCGTACCCGCATTCGTGATCCTTCTCAAAGTCACACATGGACGTTTCACAGGGCGAGCATTTGCATGTGATCTGATCTCCGTCTGCTTGACATCGTCCGGAGCTAAATTATGGTATTCTATGGAAGGAAAAATTTTCTAATCCCTCCAGAATGCGCTATGCCTTTGCGCCAGCTAGAGGTACAAAAACAGAAAAAGATAGATCTTTAAAAGTTCTCTAGAAAGAGATTCGATATGTTTTATATTAATCCTGTATTAAGCAAAGCCAAAGGCAGGCGCTGCGGAAGATAAAGTGAAGGGTTACATAGTTATTGTTACTCAGTCCTCCGTCAATTGTTTCAGGGTCAATATACTGTAGATTTGTTGAGTACAACTTATATAATATGTCAACATCTGCAAAGCCACGGCGCAACCTCATCTGGGTAATCGCTGACTCAGATTTAGGCCTATAGTGGTGAGCGCTTAACGCGGCGGTTTCAGAGCAGTGAAAGACAATCTCTACTATATATAAAGTGCTACATAGGAGGAGGTGCATAAACTATGAGGCAGGCCTTAAGGGCACAGTCCACGTTCAATTGGGGTGGTTGTTCCGTTCGAATATTACAGCGATGGTGCTGTTTGAACCGCCATAGCAGAAGAAAGAAAAAAAAACGCCGTTGGAAATTCTAAAAATAATCTCCTTCCCTCTCCCTTTCCAGCTGTGGGGACGCTATTACGTTTTATTGGTTGTCCTACAGAACAACCACACCCTCATGACATGGGCTGACCACACCCTCATGACATGGGCTGTGCTTTAAGGCCTGTTCACATCATTTCTTCTCGCTATGGACGACGCAAAGAGGCAGAAAGCTCAGTAGTAGATATGGCGCGGATGCTATCCATAGAACGGCAGAGGAGGGCGAAAGAACATAGTGGGGAGCGATACACAGATACCACAACGGTGGGCGTGCACTGGTCGATGGGGCGTATACTGGTCTAGTCGTGAAGCCTCTAATGCCCTTCCTGTACTGGTTCATGTACAAGTTTTGCGTGGTCCATGAAGTTACACCACCTCTTTGGTTGCGGGCCCTTCAGCTTCTTTTGTGAGAGATCATGTATCAATGGAGGGGCCCGTGGCTTCGATCCAGCCAAGTTAGAATTCTTTTTTGTCCCTCGGTTTGGGCACTCAGCGAGACAAAGCGATATTTGGTATTGCCAACATGAGCGCCGCGCTCTGCCTTTCAGCTGTAAGGGGAGGAGCGCAAGCAGGTGAAAGTCTTAGGTGGTTGGGTCAGTTACTGGGAAGAGAAGCTAAGGGATAGGGCTGTGCGGAATTCCGTAGAACCAGGCTACGCGAAAAATCACTGTCGTATGGAACCCTTAGTTTCCCTCTCCAGTAGATAGGTTTACCTAGTACCCTTGACCAAATTTTCGTACTCATTGCCTGTACCCAAAACAGCGGACATGTGCCAGTCATTACCGCTGCCCTTGATTTCGCTTTCCAGATGGTGCGGTTCTTGACTGTGCACTTTTTTTTCTAGTTTTTTTTTGTCGCCTACCTGTTGTTGTCGTTCTTTTTGCAAGTCCGGTCGCACACCTCATCGCCGTCCAATCGTGCGCACGTGTTCTCCTCGTCAGTCACCTCATTTTGGGCGAATTCCTCCTGAAAAGGCATCCTCATCCGCAACGCAGCCCGTGCTCGAACGGGATTCGTTGTGTTGTGACGCTCGGGAATTTCTGCTCTTTTCGACGTCTCTCCAAGTGTTGCCGACTGCCGCCGTCGACTCGACGCATCGGCGATCGTCTCAGCTGACAAAGGCATCTTTTATTGAACGGATAATCACGTTGACGAACACATCGAGCTGTTTTCCTGCAAAATCGATGGATCGATAGGTCGATAACGGAACCATCACGGACTTACCCATCGGCACCGTCGTGGAGACATTTCTCGCGACACTGTAGTAGTCCCAATCGTCCGATGCAGATCCGATCATACGGTAACGGCACCGAGCGATGGACGATCGTAGCACACTCGCCTGGAAATCACGGTCGCTGTTTGTGTAATCTCTGCTTTCTGATGCCCTCTAAGCTTGTCTGTTTCTGGTAATCAAGAGCTCGATCTTTCAGGCCCCTGGAGAAATTCCTATGAATTTTGGTTTATTTTGGAGTAAATGGCACCACGCCCGGCCTCGCTAATGAAGTGATATGACTGTGCTAAGAAGCTGCCTGACCGTAGTAAATCTAGTTGCTGTGTCATAAACTTTATTAATTACCGAATTCAAGAATTCGTTGACATACGACCATGATTTTCTACCGTTTTGAGATCAATCGTGCAAAAACTGTGGGCGGAGCGTCCTAGCGGCGACGCGACCGCACGCGGCGCAGATGCGACCTTCACTCAATTTCATGTCAAGAACTGCTATTTCATGACTAACCTTCTCTACAAAGTCGTCTTTTCAAGGCAGTTCTGTCGTGGAACGTGTCCTTGGCATTTGCTCCATCGTTACCACCAAGGTGCAGTTCCAGAGGTTTCCTCATCGATGTGCCCATAGGAGTCACGATTGTTGCGGGCTTTCCCACCGCATAGGGAATCTGAAGGTAGTATTTAATAAGGGTGGGATCTCAGCGATTGAAGAGGACACAGCAACGCGTACCTATACCGTAAACCATCAGGGTAATCCCCGTACTAGAGATCAACTCGATTCTTACTCATAACTGCAGTTTCTATCAATCAGTTCGCATTTTTTCCAAATGCATGGCTTACCCAAAGGGGTCGATGATGCCCTAACGACTAGCGAACCCGTGAAGTTAAGCTCCTTCACCTAGAAACAGAGCAGGAGCCGGTTGAGCACTGAAAGGGGACTGTAGCTGAATGGGGTGCGCCGTGCATTGGCCTTCCTTAGCTACTCGAACATCGCCTCACGTACACAGTAGCGGTCAAAAGTGTTCGCCGAAACGATTTTTCGTGCATTATTTTTTCTCGCTTGAGCAACGCCTCCAAAGATTGATATACTATGTTTTCTAGTGTTTTTATATCTCAAGTCTTAAAAATCAGAATATTTAGTGTCAAAGTTTCACAAAGTTCAAGATCACCTCGGACTTTTTCCTGGCAGAAAGAAAGCGAAGAACGAAAAACCGTTCCGGCGAACATTTTTGACCGCTACTGCACCTCAAATCTAATCTCATCTAGCTTAACCTCTTATTGGCAATCGTGACAATGGCGCCTCTAAGGCACACTGCGCATTAAAGGAATCTTCCGCGGAAAAAGCTCCGCCTCCATTACCCTAGAAAAACGATACCCCTTAGGCCCCTAGCCTCATGAGCATAGCAAAAAGAACGGAACATAAGTGTTAGTTTCGA